CTCGCCCCGCCCCCGGCCCCGCCCCAGCCCCTCTGGACCTGGCGTCTTCCCGCGGCTGGCTCCAGCCCTTCCCCGCGTGGCCCCGCCCCAGCCCTTGCCCCTTGCCCAGTCCAGACCCCTGCGGAGCCGGGATACGCGGAGACGCAGGTGAGGCGCGCGGGGTCCGAGCTGCAGTGGGGAGCTGGGTCTGGGCGCGGCTGAGAATTGGCGGGGGCTGTTGGCGTGCCCTGGACTGACCCCCCCACCCCGGCCCAACCCGCAGAGCGGGGCCAGACCCGGAACTGCATGCCTGGCTCTTGGTGGCCGTTGGGGACCCCCGACCCCGGCTACTTTCCCTTCCCGGCCCCTAGCAAGGCCGCTCCTCCGGTCACCTTTCTTATTTTTTTAGGCTCGAGGCATCTGCTGCACCTCAGCCCACGACCTGCCTCGCTGGAAGGTGCGGGCAGCTGGCCAAGCCCTGACCACTCCCTGAGGCCCCAGTCCTCAGGCAAGGTTCTCGGGTAAGTGTGGGGCCCTGAGGCGCTGTGGGGTGAAGAGGTGTGTGCGGGGACCGCTGTGTGCCTAGGACCTTCCTGCACTCACAAACCCCTGGGAGGTTTATGAGTGCAGGAAGGACCTGATGGGTTCCTGCCGCCACACCTGTGACTGTCAGGGAAGTGTGAACAGATGCTTACTGAGTGAGTGAGGGAGGCCAGCCTCTAGGGCCGGCCCTGGTGGCTTTGCCCACCCGGGTGACTTGGGAACTGCACATTCTTGTCAGTCAGCAAGACAGGAACCCACGATCCCAGACCTGAACACGCTGGGCTTGACGCCTCCCACCGAGAGGCCGGTGGTGGGCTGCTGCTGTGGACTTGGAGACTCAGCACTCCCAGGACTAATGCTGCCTGGATGTCGGGTTGCAAGGCGGCTGCTGCAGCTCCAGCCATCACATCCAGGCTGCACTTCTTTCACAGAAGCAAAGGCTCTCACATCCCTTGCTGCACCCTGGCTTTTGGCCCACAGCTGGGTGACTTGGGAACACAGGGGTGGTGATATTAAGCTTGTCTTACCCCGGTCGTGGCTGTCACCTGGGTCTGGCACATTGCTGCTGGGACTAGACTGGGATTCTGCTCACCAGGCCAGAGGGTGTGAACCTTGGGCAGGGAGCTGACGGCTCCACAGGCTCCGGGAGAGCAAACTAACTCCAGTAGATTCAGTAGCCAGGGCTCCCACCGAAGGCACACTTTATGGCTTTGACACGGCTCCCTCTGCCTCGCTGGGCTTTGTGGAAGGGCAGACAAGGAAATGCCGGGAGTCTCAGAAATGCCTGGGGCTTGAGTTTCTGTGCTGGTTTCTTGCAGGGGGGTGGCTGCTGTGCCTTTAGGCCTCTGTGCCAATGACCTGGGAGGAGGGTCAGCCTTCCCTGATGGCAGGGGCCCAGCATAGCCTCAGCCCCTAGAAGTGAGGGGCCTGCCGCTGCCTGCCTGAGGACCCCACTCCTGGGGGCCAGATGCCCAGAGGGGACACTGGGGGCCCAACAGACCAGAGAGCTAACCCCAAATCCCACAGCCTGGGTGGGTTCTCAACTTCTGGTGCCCCCTCCACCCCTGCGCCCCCTTAGGTAAACAGGAGGTCCTAACAGAGGCCAGAGGGTGAAGGAGGTGCTCAGAGCTGGGGCTGGCACAGGCCTGCCGGGCAGCTGCACCGGTGCTCAGAGTTCCTGCTCAGTCCCCGCGGTCTCCTTGCCTCTCTGGACACCTGGGCTGCCAAGCACCGAGCTGAGTGCCGAGATGCAAACATGAGTCCCTGGCCTGCAGGAGCTGGAGCCCAGCAGGGAGCTGGTGCTGGGGCTGGGCCCCCCCCCCTCTGGGCAGCCGCCGAGACCCATGACCATCCTCTCTGTAGGGCCTCCCCAAGGCCTTGAACCCACCCCAGGCCCGTGCATCCCCCAAACCCCGGCCCTCCCAGAGGTGTGGGTGGAGGAGCTGCAACCCACACAGGCCAAGGACACAGCTGCTGCCACTGTCTGGGGTGAGCCACGTATCCTTCCCAGACAAGGGCCAGACTAGCTGTACCAGCCGCCGCCTCCGGCCTGCCGCCTGCCCCACCCCCACGCCCCTGGCCAGGCTTTCCAGAGGTCAGCAGGGGCCTTATCAGGCAGGGTTACGGAGGGGAACAATTATCAGGGGCTACAGCCTGGGTTGGGCCACAGTGTCCTCGTCTCTTGAGGGCGGCAGGCTGTGCAGCCTCCCTGATAAAAGCACCCGGGAAGAGAGGCCCCTGGAGCTCACTGGAAGGAAACTCTGGCTTCCCACATTCCTGAGGTCAGAGCTTGGCCGCCTTTCGGCCTCCCTGGGTTGGAATTCCTGTTTGGTCCCATCCTCCCGGCATGACCCCGGGCAAGTGACTCAACCACTCTGCATCTAAGTCACCTGTTAAGTCAGGTGACAGAGCCAGTGAGGGAGCCAGCCCCCGACCCTTAGTGCCCCCCCGCCCCCGTCTAACCCCAGACAGCTCCTCCCCCAGCAGCAGCCCCCCCCCACCTAACCCCAGGCAGCCCCTCCCCCAGCTGCAGCTCCCCCAACCCCCGTCCCCTAGCAGCAGCCCCCCTCCACCAGCAGCAGCCCCAGAGCAGGTCTTGGCTGCACCCTCCATCGGCTGTGCTTTACAGTGAACTCACAGCCTGCCTCAGTCTCCCCACCGTGAAGGCCCCGCCCCTCTGCTGCAACCTGGCAGCATGCAGCCGCAGGAGAGCCACGTCCACTACAGCAGGTGGGAGGACGGCAGCCGGGATGGAGTCAGCCTGGGGGCCGTGTCCAGCACAGAAGAGGCCTCATGCTGCCGCAGGTGAGGGGCCTGAGGGTAGCCTGCAGCCCCAGCAGGTCGGTCCCTCCTTCCGGAGCCACCTGCCCTAACCCCTGCCGCCAGCCCCGTCACCCTCCACCCTGTCCCAGCTGGGAGCCCAGCAGCTCAGCAGACCACAGCCCTGGGGCTTCCCTTTGGTTGGCTGTGGGTGGGGCGGGTGGCCTCCTGAGTGCCCAGGCCTCTCCCCGTGACCCGGCCCAATGGCCACAGTCCACTTAGGGGGCCCCTCACGTGGCCCCGGCCTGGGGCTCAACTCCGGTTGGTTCTCACCCCAGGATCTCCCAGAAGCTGTGCTCGGGCAAGCTGGGCATCTCCATGAAGGTGCTGGGCGGCGTGGCCCTCTTCTGGATCATCTTTATCCTGGGCTACCTCACCGGCTACTACGTGCACAAGTGCAAATAAATGCTGCCCCGCAAGCAGGCTGGGGGCTGGCGGCACACGTGTGAGACCACAGGCCTGCGGACACCCCGTATACGTGGACCCCGTGGCACACACAGTACACAGGGCACTCGCACTGGCAGCCAGACCCACAAAGACACCAGGTGCGCAGCTGTCACAGGCCTCACATGAGGGCACACACACACCTGGCACACGGTCCTTCAAAGAATCTACAAACAGCTGGGCACACGCAGCTGGGAGACCTGGGCCCAGCCTCAGCAGGAGCTGCGGGACATACCCAGGCCACAACCTGCAGCCCAGAGCCCCCAGCCACAGCCTCCCCTGGCCCAGGGCCCAGCCCCTTCCTTGTCAAGGTCAGGATGAAGGGTTTCTTTGACAGGCAAACTGCCCACCTCCCTGGCAGTCCCCTGGGGAGGACCCTCCCACTGCTTCCCTCCAAGGGGGCCCTGTGCAGAGCTGTGTGCCCTGGGCAGGCCCCCAGCTTCTCTAGGCCTGACTCCTGGTTTTGTAAGGCTGGCTCCAAGAAGGGCTGTGTGTCCCCTGCCCTTCCCTAAGGGACTAAGACCCAGCCCCAGGTTTCCTATGCAGAGCAGGAAGCAGGCCCTGGCCCCTGTCCCAGATGCACCATATCTTCCTTAGTAAAGTGGGCACGGTTCTTCCTCTTGGGGCTGGCGGTTGCCAGGGAGAACCC